AAAAAAAAAAAAAAAAAAAAAAAAAAAAAAAAAAAAAAAAAAAAAAAAAAAGAAAAAAACTGAAGGCGTTCCAAATGGGCCTAACGACTTAACTCGATTGACGAAAAGTACAGAGGAAGATGGAGAAGAATAAATTGAAGGCGTACCGGAAGAAGAGGAGATAATCGACGACGGAGGTGGTGAGGAAAAGAAAATTACCTAAGAGAGAGAAGTGATGTAGTGGCCGTGGCAAAGGGGAAAGACTCCAATTAGGGTTTAGGAGTCATTTTGATTTTGGGCTTCAACCAAATGGGCCTAATAACGGAAAGCCCATTTAAAAACCCATACATTTTGTTAAAAAAATAAATAAATAATAATTGTCTTATTTGTTTTCTCGATGTGCAATGCTTCAATGACTTTTTTATTCTGTACATAATGGAATCGGTAATTAAATTTATTGATTTCTTTTAATCTAATTTCTAATTAATCAGTTGATTTTTAAAATTATAAATTTATGAGACAAGAAAATAAATTTAATGTTTATTAGATATTTCAAGTTTTTGGAATGTTTATAATAGGTTATTTTGAGAATTGATTGTGTTTATTGTAGAAATTATGTGTTGCTATTGATGGTTGTGAGAGTGTAAAAAAGAAGGGTAGATTTAGTTAGTACCCATTTTGTACCACGGGAATTTATATATTAATTTTCACCATACAAATTACAAATAGTTTTAACAAAACCCTATTAAAACAAAATTTGCGACAGTTACAAAAATTAACACCAATTACATAGTTTTAGAAAACACTTGCAAATAGCTGTCATATAACAAAGTTCACTACGAAATACATGAATCCGAAGAACAATTTGTAAAGCAACAGAAATGTAGACACCCAGCTCAGCTCAGCTCAGCTCATCCACATGAGTATTTGAGCAATTAAGATCAGAATAAAATTCCAAACTGGGGTACCAGTAATGAAATGTGATAGAAATTAAACAAAATGAACACGAGATTTATCTTAAGAATTGAAATTACTCCAGATATAGATTGAAAATAGATGCCAGCCTAAAGACTACATGATTTTCTATTCCACAAGTTCTTAAATTGAGGGGCAAAAAAGTTCAAACATCTATCCTTTGTCTTCTCCACAACTAACATCATAACACTTAAATAGGTTCAAAACAGGATGAAGAGCAAATCACAAGAGGAACACCTCAAAATCCAAGCTTGGTGCGGCGCCAGTGCCTTCGTTTCGCATTATACCTGCAGAATACATCAAAATGCCGCGTTACATTTAAAACTGATAAGAATAGAAATGATGAAATACGAATAAAAACTATAATAGAAGAGCTTAAGACCTGATGGTATTGTCGGTCCTCAAGCGGATCCAGTGAGGAATGGGCCTGTTCTGTCTCATCTTCTTGGCCAACTTCTTCTTGATTCTAAAGGTCTTGTGAGACGGCTGTGCACATTAAAGGAAACTCACATCACAAAACACAACCTCCCAAATCGATTTCAATCTGGGTAACTAAACAAATTACCAGAAGAAATTAAAAATAAAAAATCACTTCCCAAGTAAGAAACACTTGCCATCTTGGATATTCAAGAATCAGCCAACGACTGCACCCCTACAACTAATTACCTGAGCCATGAAGAACCATTATCAAGACATGATCCAAACGAACAAAATTAAAGAGCATTTAATTCAACATTGGAGTTTAAACTGAATAAAAGGGAAATTCATTGCGTGGGACTCTCAAGGATTCACCACATCTATGATATTCAAACGAACGTAGGATAACTAAATTTCGCATCCGCGTGCCAAAATTTTAGATATAAAAACACAAATAATGGAGAAAAAAATAGATAGATATCGTAAATTATCAATCATTGTAATAAATTTAGACCGGTACTTTCACTACAAAAAATTAAGGATTCATCCACTCAAAACCATTACATTTATTCCACACATAAGAACAATTCACAAAATAACAACAAATTGGTCCCTCGACTTGAAAAGTACATTCTGATTCTAAAACGCCTTAAAAAATATTCTAGCAAGCGCAGCGCACAAATTCTATATAGCATATTGGTTCCACAATAATCAGATTGGAGGTCGATTAAATCGAAATCTAAACAATCAAAACCTAATATCTATAAGGAAGAAACCCCATGTTCTCACTAAACTAATAGTTACAAGGCATGGAACTCGCAGATCTACAAAAATGTGTCGAAATCGCAAGCCAAACGATATCAAACCTAACGACTAATTATCTGAGGAACCTTAAGGAAATAATTCTCGGACTTCAGCGTTGTTTCGCTGACAAAAAAACCAAAAATATGAAAATTCGAAAATCAACTCATGTAAATTACAAGAGATTAAAGATATACCGAGGAAAAAGAACAGATATTCGATGACGGAGGAGAAATGAAGAAAGATTACCTGCGAGAGCAAGGTGAAGAAGCGGCCGTTCTAGTCGGTAAAGACCATGGATTAGGGTTTTAGGAGAATTTGTCGAGTTTGGGCTTCGAATAAATGGGCCCAATATTAGGGTTCATTGAAAATCAAATAAAAGCCCACAAGTATTTCAGCCTTTATATATATATATCTTTTTTTTTTTCTTTTTAATGTTCGATTTAATTATCATATAATAAATAATGTTAACCAGTAAATTAAATAAACAAAATTATGATTTAAAATTAAATCATAAATTACGAGACTTTATAACATAAATCTCAATAAAAGTTTCTCTATCGAGTAATTCGAAGAAAAAACAGATTAATTTCACTTATAACTCATTTTAGATTCTAATAAAAAATAAAATTGCATAAACTCCATTGTTGTTTGTAAATGTTGATCTAGTTGTAGAATTACTTACAAAGTATTTATAATACTCATTTAAAAAATAAAATTAATTAAAGACAAGAACGTCCTCGTTGTTCTCGTTGTCTATGTTTGCATATGCTGACTCATGTGGTCTTTATAGCATGCATGTTAGAACAATCCTATTTAATTCCGGTCTAGAAAAATGGGTTGATATAATCATTAAAATAAACTATCATCTAGCATATGCTTTTGAGCAAAGGAAAAATGTTCGTTCATCAATTTAAGCTACGATGCTAATTTAATGCTAACATCCTACGTTTATAAGGGTGTGAAAATCTCTCTCTAATATACTTGTTTTAAAAACTTTGAAAGATGTTCGAAAGGGAAACTTCAAAGAAGACAATATTTGCTAGCTTTGTTTGAGCTGTTACAAATGGTATCAAAGCAAGACGTCGTGCGATGCGCCAGCAAAGAGGTTGAGGCCTGAAGAGGGTGGACATGAGGCGGTGTGTCAGCAAGGACACTGAGTTCTGAAGAGAAGTGAATTGGAGGGTTCCACATCAATTGGAGAAAGGAAAGAGTGTCAGCAAGAACATTGGGCCCGAAAGGGGGTGGATTGTGAGATTCCATATCGGTTGGGAAGGAAAATGAAACTTTTTTTAAAGAGAAATCTCAAAGACCACATTGACTTCTAGCAGTTGGCTTAGCCATTTATACCAAAAGTGAAATAGGCAAAGTTGAGGGATGAAATAATAATTTAGGAAATTCCATTTTTGCCCCCAAGAGTTGGATGTCCTCATCCATGCTATTGATGTTGTCATGTTCCTTAAAGAAACAGACATCAAAATGTGGTCATCTTAACGACATCACCACCGTTTTTTCTTTCACCACCCAACACACAATAATACAAATATTAGAACCATTGGCTCTTACCATTCAAACTTCAAAAAAAAAAAAAAAAAAAAAAACCAGAAATCTCCACCCCTTTCCTCTTTGCTTTCTTCAACAATGAATTTGGATCTCTTGCCTCTAGATTGTTTTGCACATATCCTCTCCTTCGCCTCCGCTCGAGAAGCATGTCAGCTATCAATCATCTCAGAGACAATACGCTCAATGACTGATTCAGATGTTGTATGGGATAATTTTCTCCCATTTGATTGTGAAGAAGTTTTGTCGAGATTAGATACTCCGGTGATTTATCGTACGAAAAAGGAGTTATATTTCAAGCTATGTTGTCTCCATCATATGGATGGAGGTACGAAGGTACAAAAAAAAAAAAACACAGTTTCGATTTATTTGTTAATATGATCGATGATAAACGTTTTACTGTAAATGCAGATGTTTTATTTAGATAAAGAGACAGCTAAGAAATGTTATATTTTAGGAGCAAGGGAGCTTCAAATCCAATGGTCAAACAATCCTCTATATTGGTCTTGGAATAGTCAACCCTTCATAAAGTCAAGGTCTTTTCGGTCTCTTTGACCTCTCACACTTTTTTTAATATTAAAAAAAACATAAAATTAAAAATAAATTGTGAAAGCAGGTTTGATGAAGTTGCAGAATTGAGAACCATATGGTGGTTAGAAATAAAAGGCTTATTCAACGCCAAATTGCTTTCCCCCAAAACGCTTTACTCGGTCTATCTTTTGGTGAAGTTTGCAGACAGAGCTTATGGTTTAGACACTCATCCATCTCAAGCCTCGGTTCAACTCGACATGGTCCTATCTAAAAGAAAAGTGTATTTGAACAACAACGGTAGAGGGTCGAACAAAAATCGGGCTATCGTTAATGGAGGCGATGACCGAGAGGAAGGCATCGACGATTGGGTCGAGATTGAGTTAGGAGAGTTTTATGTTAATGATTTGGAAGATGGGGTTGTGGAGATGTGTTTGAAAGAAGTTGAGAGCCAACATTTGAGGGGTGGTCTTATTGTTGAGGGGATTCAACTAACACCTAAGATCAAACTCTAGCATGTAATCGCAATTACGGTAACGACCTTAGATTTTTTAGTAATCTAGAGTCGCTACGGTTTTTATAATGTAATCATTTTGTGTGGAAATAAGCGTTTAAAATTCATCATAAAACATAAACTTTAACTTAAAACACTGTCATGGACTTAGGTGTTAAAAAACATCCTTAGAATGATACAACGAAATATTAAATAAAATAAATAATGATTAAAATTAAAAACACAATATTCTAACCTAAGTCTAAGAAAATAAGTACAATTACCCTATGTGTGTCTCATGGTCGCGAATTACGATGTCGTCGTCAGCTGTGCAAAGATGCCTTGCTTTTACCTGAAATAGAAGTAGCACGTGGTTTGAGTATTTTAAGAAATACTTAGTAAGTGACCTCACTATTGAGGTTAGATGCAAACACACACAATCATGAGTGAGATCTATCATATCAGTCTATATTTCTTAGGCGGCTATCCTAAACGGGCTAATTGGATGTATAATTATTGTTCTACACACAGTTCACACGTGCGAGTATGAACCCACTAGTCAATTCGCACACCTCCTGGGCCTCTTTTTTGTCGAGCGAGCATTCTCTAGTAGATGTTGATGTCGGAGACCTGTTAGGAATAGCGACCGTCGTAGCAGCATTATGATAGACAATTGTTTGAAAATTGTTTTTATATGTCAAAGGTCTTATGAATTCTCCCTATTCAACGAAGAGACAATTGTTTGATTGTGCACGACGTATTGGCTTGGCTCCGCATGATGATTTTGCACCCTCGCTTGCGATGAGTGAGAATAGTCGATAGTCGCCCAAGCTCGTTTTAGCATACGACGTATGAGTGGTGATTTGGTTGTTTGGGTCTATAGGCTTGACATTAAACTGCTGGCATCAGCTCCTCCTCATTGATGTTTCCCAAAGTATTTTGAGTGACTATAGTTCTTTGGTTCTTGCATAGATTACCACACTGGGTGCATCATAAGTCTTGTTAGTCCCTTTCTATTAGCACCCCTCATTGGGTGCATGATGAATTTAGAAGCCCGCTTTGCGTATTGCTTCAACCTTTGAATGGCTTGTCACAAAACGCGTCTTGGTTGCTTGCACTGTCGAATGTCGTGCATTTGGTGGCATGATGTGCTTGGGAGACTCCTCGAACATGTTGCCTACGTATTGCTAAATGAGGATGAATGGATGACGCTTGCTCCTGCATTGCCCCTATTATTGCCTCTCTCACACTCTCTTGGGAGGGGGAGACAGTGAATTGTGGTGGCAAGTGGGTTACAACGTCGTGTCGGAATGCTACCTTGTTCATCCTGATAGTAGTCATATGCTTGTCTTAAATATTAAGTCATGCATGTATAAAAATGAACTAATTCAAACTATGAAACTTTGAATGACTCATTAAATCAATTATAGTTTGTTTGATAGTATTTGCTACTCGAATAACCATAGTAATTTTAAAGCTAATACGTGAAACTTCAAACCTTGATTTCTTGAAGGGATGATGGGCTAAGCCCATTGCTCTGATGATTCATGATAACTCGACAAATTGCACGACCATCGTGTCGACAACGCATTATTCAAATTTCTGCCCTATCAACTTTTGATGATAGGATAGTGGCCTACATTGGTGGTGACGGGTGACGGAGAATTAGGGTTCGACTTCGAAGAAGGAGCTTGAGAAACGACAACTAAATCAAAGAAACGCAACAGACGCGCAAATTACCCAATCCTGACACGGGGAGGTAGTGACAATAAATAACAATACCGGGCTCTTTGAATCTAGTAATTGGAATGAGTACAACCTTAATGCCTTAACGATGATTAATTGGAGGACAAGTTTGGTGCCAGCCGCTGCAGTAGTTCCAGTTCCAATAATCTATATTTAAGTTGTTGCAGTTAAAAAGCTCGTAGTTTGACCGTGGATTGGGTCGGTCGGTTTGTCTATGGTGAGCATTGGTTGGCTCGTCCCTTCTGTCGGCGATGCGCTCCTAGCCTTAACTGACTGGGTCGAGCCTCCGACGTTGTTGCTTTGAAGAAATTAGAGTGCTCAAAACAAATCTACGCTTTGTATACAATAGTTTGAGATAACATCATAGGATTTTGATCTTATTCTATTGGCCTTCGGGATTGAAATAATGATTAATAGGGACGGTCAGGGGCATTCATATTTTATAGTCAGAGGTTAAATTCTTTTATTTATGAAAGACGAACAACTGTAAAGCATTTGCCAAGCATATTTTCATTAATAAAAAACAAAAGCTTGAGGCTTGAAGACGATCAGATACCGTCGTAGTCTCAATCATAAACGATGCCGACCAGAAATTGGAGGATTTTTCTATAAGGACTCACCAGAACCTTATGAGAAATCAAAGTTTTTGGGTTATGGGGGAGTATGGTCGCAAGGTTGAAACTTAAAGGAATTGATAGAATGACGCCACAAGGACTGGAGCCTACTGCTTAATTTGACTCAACATGGGGAAACTTACCAGGTGCAGGCATAATAAGGATTGACAGGCTGAGAACACTTTCTTGGTTCTATGGGTGGTGGTGCATGGTCGTTCTTAGTTGGTGGAGCGATTTGTCTAGTTAATTTCGTTAATAAACGAGACCTCAACTTGCTAACTAGCTATGCGGAGGAATCCCTCTACGACCAGCTTCAGGACTATGGCCGCTTAGGCC